GGGGGGCCCCTCGTCTGCTCTCTGAATGGCTCCTGGTACGTGGTGGGGCTGACCAGCTGGAGCGCATCATGTGAGACCCCAATCGCCACCCCCAGTGTCTTCACCAGGGTCTCATACTTCAACAAGTGGATTGACGATAACAAGAAATCATCACCCAATCCAAGTCCAGAGTGGTCCCATAAGCCCCCTAACAAGACGCCAGGGGGTCATAAGCCATCACCCCCTGGGGGTGGTGAAAATACTGATGGCACTGTTAGCGAAAATGATGGCGTTGTTATGAAGCCGGCGGTCTGCACAGCCCTGCTGTCTTCTCAGGTCCTCCTGCTACAGTTGGTTTATTTCAGGACTCTCTGACGGAGCCATAGGGCCTTGAGCAGGCAGAACGACCTGCAAGCTGCCTCACCGAGCACTGTCTTCCATGTCTCCGCCTATGGGCTCCCCTGTCCATCTGAGGCCACACTTGCCCTAAGCCAAGAAAAAAATAAAACAAAAAAGAGAACTAAAATGTAAAGCACCTACTAACTGTTTTCTGTCACCACTCCTCACACTCTTCAGGGTTTCCAGCTGCTCACTCCCAGAAGGCCACGTCCTCCCTGGGCAGAGAGAGTGGATGAGACAGCATCCATCAATGTAGGAGCCAGCCGGCTCCCAGCTGGCTTCCAGAGACTATGGCCCACTGCTGCCCCCTAAGGCTGTGTGTTCTTTCAGAAGAATGAGCCTCTGTGTCCCGCCAAGCCCTCACCACACGGCTGCAGCAGTCTGTGCTCTTGGAGCCAGCCCCAGTTTAGGCATGAGGGGCATCTTGCAAGCCCAAGGTCACAGCAGCCTTCTAGAGAGTCTGGCAGGGAAGTGTGAGGACCCCTGAGGTCTGACATGTCAACAGCAATCCTCAAAGCTCTTCTGCCAGGGTCAGCAATCACGCTCATATCGCCCCTCCAAACTCCGACCCCACCACTTGCCTGCAAAGCACACACTCCCATGGGGCTTGCTTCAGCCTGCACTGGCTGAGGCTTGGGGAAGGACTGCCTCAGCACCCAGCTGCCCTGAAAACCCATCTGTGTCACCACATCCTCTTCAGTCTGTGTGGGAGCTCACTAGGTTCCACCCTGCAACATTCAACACAAACTACAGATAAAGGAGCCTCTGGGCTCTTTGCAGACCCATGGTGCCCTGAGGGAAATCCAGATGCTTTGAGCAATCTTTCCGACCCTGTTTGAACACCCCAGGCCCTTCCCAGCAGGCGGGAACAAAACAACTCTGCTGTGCATAATCAGCACACTGTGCCCAGTTCAAAGCCCCCTGCTGCTAATGTCCAGTTTCCCAGTGTGCATCCTGCCCCTTCCTCTCTCTGCAGGTCCCCCTCCCTCCTGCTGTTTCTTCCTCTTCCCAGAATGAGTTCTGGCTCTATAACTGAGTTTCCACCACTGACAAAATACCTGAGGAAATCCCAAGTAAAAAGAGGCAAGGTTATTTTGCCTCATGGTTTCAAAAGTATTGGCCAGTTGCTCTGACTGCAGTGACATAGATATCCCAGGCAGATCAGGTGGCAGCGAGTTCCGTTCCCTGCATGGTGGCTGAGAAGCAAGGCTCCTTTAGTTTGTGCTAGATGCTGAAGGGTAGATCTTAAGGATCATGAGAGCTCCTTGGAGGGTTACCCTCACACCAGTGACCCAATTTTCTCCTACAAGGTCCCATCTCCTACAGGTCCCATGGACTCTAAACAGAGCCACAGCTTAGGACCAAGCCTTAAGCTTATGTTTTTTTTTGGGGGGGGGGGATGGGCACTCCAAATGTATGTCCTTGCCTCCACCTTGTTGATAGAGGAAAATTTCAATTGAGTCTTAGCTCTTGACAAGCTTGTCTTGAGGACTAGGGTATACAAAAACGTTACAGTCACTAAAGCCACCCCAAGCTCTCCTGGCTTTTGGATTGTCTTGCAAATCCAAAGAAGACATTCATGACCACAGTGAGTGAGTTTTAGAGAGAAGTTTATTGCAAGGTTATAATAATCGAGGGAGGGGAGAGGAGCATGGTGTCGAATGCCTTTAATCCCAGCACTCAGGAAGGCAGAGACAGGCAGATTTCTGAGTGTTCAAGGGCCAGCCTGGCCTACAGAAACAAGTCCAGGACAGCCAAGGCTACACAGAGAAACCCCGACTCTAGAAAGAGGGGGCAGAGGGGGGAGTGAGGGAGAGGAAGTTCAGAGCTCCCGTTTAACAGGAAAAACAGGTAAAACTGATCTGCTAGTCTAGTAGTAAAGTTTTTGTTTTAAAAGAGGGTTTATCCTGGAGCCATTTTGTGTGCTCACAGACAGAAACAGTTTCATGAAGTTGTATAGGTTTACAGAGGAAAGAATGTCATAAACCAAGCCAAGTTTAAAATGCATTAGAGAGATGGTTTCAGCGAGACAGGGAAGCTTTTCTGTAGGCTCAAGATGCTCTCCGATGACAGTCTTAGCTTTTAGCTTAAGGGAAGTTAGTGGTTCTGCTAGTTGAATAGATTCCAAACCTTCCTTCCTTCCTTCCTTCCTTCCTTCCTTCCTTCCTTCCTTCCTTCCTTCCT